AATTCTTATTTGATAACCCTGCCCGGTCAACAAGATGCTTGTTAGGGAGTTTTATGCCAACTGCCCATTGAACTTAAGTAGGGGGGTGATCGTGCGAGGCAAGGTGGTCAGCGCCACAATTCCCATGATTCGCCAGGTGTTGCGGCTGCCTCAGTTCACTTGTGACATTGACTACTACCACGACAGGCCAGGGGCATGGGAGGTCATGACTGATATACTCAGTGCAGAGGGGCGACCAACCTGGATACGTGACCAAATCACCCTGAACTCCAACTCATTCACACACTTGGCTAAGTGTTGGTTAACGGTCATTTGCAGCCGGTTCCTACCCTCAAGCAACACAACTGACGTGAACTTCCAGCGTGCACTGTTGGCATGGTGCTTCGTGGCGAAGAAGACATTGACTACTACCACGACAGGCCAGGGGTCACATGGGAGGTCATGACTGATATACTCTGAGCAGAAGGGCGACCAACCTGGATACGTGACCAAATCACCCTGAACTCCAACTCATTCACACACTTGGCTAAGTGTTGGTTAACGGTCATTTGCAGCCGGTTCCTGCCCTCAAGCAACACAACTGACGTGAACTTCTAGCGTGCACTGTTGACATGGTGCCGGACCATCTCGGCGCCCCCATTCTGGAGCAGGCCTATCCCGCTCACAGTCCTCCCAGCCTATGCTGCGTTCCTTGGAGGAAGAGGTCGCGGATCTCCACACCTCGGTGGATGGCCTACGCACGCGGATGGATGCCATGTCGCAGAGGCAGTCTAGATCTGAGAGCCGGTTTATGGCCTGGTTACGTGCATTGGGGAGAGCTTGCCATGTAGACCCCAGCACCGTCTCCGACTCTGATTGAGTCTCAGGGAAGTCTTCTGACCCTTCTGCTCTTTACTTTCTTGATATGACATGGGGACATGCCATGATTTTAAGTGTGGGGTGGGAGACTTGCTCTGATTGTGTGTTGTAATGTATATAGACGTTGTTGTGCTGTAGGAGTAGATTGATGTGTTGTATATATTTGAGTGTGCTTATATTAGGAGTAGCTGACTTGGCCCAACGACGGACACTTGTCGACGGGTCTCTTGAGGGTCAAAGTCGGAATTAATTTAAACTGAAAACAAGTTAGAGGACTCTTCCTGAGGACGGACCACTTGGACAGTAATCTTGAGGGAAGTAGTCCATGTAGAATTTTTTATTTTTATTTTTTATTTTTTCTCTTCTAGGTAGTGTAATACTTCCCCCTTGGTTTTTCTTTTGACCACGGTTCTTTTCCAAGGGCTTTTCTTGAACCGGGTTAGGTAGATTTTCCTTTTGTAGTTTTAGGACTAAGATGGGTGAAGGCTAGAATACAACCCCTGATATGCACACCTGCAAATAACTAAAACGAACTTGAGAGTGTGACGTCTAGGCTCGCTTGTGGACTCGTAAATCCATGCCTTAATTTTGCACATCTTGTCTTGCTTGAATGCTCGTATGAGTGTGTTGATGAACTGATTCGGAATGAGTTGCATGCTAAGTGAGTGGGAGATATTACTTGCATTCTGTGCCTGCATGCGATACCTAGAACTTGCCCTGTGTGTTTGCAAAGCGAAATAGAAGTTGTTTGGTTTTAGAGATGATTGAGGCATTTCTTTGTGCAACCCTATATAATTGTGAATCCACCTGTATATATCGCCATAGTTAACCCCTTTGAGCCTGAAGCCTGTTCTTTGATAACCCTATAATGACCTAAATCTCTGTGTTTGAATAGCTTGATTGTTTGAACCTATACCTCCTAGAAGCGCTTGAATCACTAAAGAACATACAAAAGTCAAAGTGTGGGGTAGTAGGGAGTTAGCGAAAAAAGGGGAATCAAGAATGAATTGTTTGATTGGTGCACAGGCATTGTAAAAAAAAAAAAAAAATACCAGTTGCACCTAAAGAAAAGTGTGGATCACACATGAAACAAAAATGTGGAAGAACGATTGGGTTGAGCATGGAAATTGAAATAAAAGGAAGTGTGTATTAAAAGTGCTTAGGGAGGTTAGTCACTATATCCAAATATATCCTACCCGTCCCTTAGCCTACATTACAACCAAATGAAGACCTCTTGATCTTTGACTGAACAGCTCGATTAGTAGAGTATTACACTAGGGGCAAGCTTATGGTGTGTCTGTGTGGCATGTGAATGCTCTTTGCTGAGAGTGAGTGAATTCTTACTATATATGGTTCCTTGTTGTTGAATTTTATGTGTGTGGAACTTCTCTCAGATTTTGTTTATGTGAGGGCATGTGACTCAGGAAGAAAAAGTGAGTCTTCACTTCTGTTAGAGTAATTAGAGTGAGCACAAGTGTGTCTTGGCATGAGAGTCTGCATTTGAGATATGATTGTGCACTGCTTAGGTCGATCATTGATAATAGCAGGTGTGACATAAATTGGGGCAATGCATTGAGCAGTTAGGCCTAGAAGTGTGGTTTAGTTTGCTCGAGGACGAGCAAAGGTTTAAGTGTGGGGTGTTGATAATAGGTGAATTTGACTATAATCACACCTTAAATAATCACCTTCTTGTGTAGTTTTAATGCTAAAAGTGATAACAAAATGCTCTTATTAGTGCTTTTCATGATTTGCAGGTGATATATGTATAAGGAAGGCTAAGGAGCAGTTTTGGAGTCAAAATTGGTGAAAAAGAGGCCAACTGTGAAATTTCCCAAGTAAACCATGCAAAACAGGCCGAAGATCCAGAGCACTGGTTTTACCGCGGTTCCACCGCGATCGCGGTAGAACCGCGGTGGAAGACAGCTGCGGATGATTTCAGAATCAGAGAAGGCTTTTGGCCGCGGTTTGACCGCGACCACGGCAGAACCGCGGCGAAAGCAGAAAACTTCAGGGACCAAAGTGTAAAACACGGGATTTTTAGACCTAAACCCTATTTTAAATACAAGACTTCGCCCAAGAGAGGCATGTATTGAATTTTAGAGTATCTTGGCAAGGAAAACAATTGTGAGAGATTACTCCAACATCTTTCTTCTTTTCTTTTTATTGCTAGTTATGATGAATTCTATCTTAGTTTGTTTTCCCATAGCCATGAGTAGCTAAATCCTGTCTAAGGTTTTGATGGAACCTATTTGGTGATGAACATCTTGTTTATGTGAATACAAATTGCTAGTTTCAATCTCTATTTGTTCAACTTTGTGTTTGTTGTAGTTAATTGACAGGATCCTCAATTAGTTGTGCCTATTTAGTGTGCATAACTTGGAAAAGAGTGCATATTTAGGGTATTGTTGAACAACACCACTCCTAGATTATTAGAGGAATCTATAATTGCGGGTTTAAAGGCGGGATTAGGGATAACGAAGCCTTGGGTGTAATCTAAAGTGAATTGTGCTAAATAAAGTAAGCTAGTGTATCTCGGGAGAGTGCAATTAGTATATTACTGTGATTACTCGGGAGAGATTTACGGTAAGATGAACGTTCATGATTGATAGAGATTTGTTGGTAAATTTGTATGAGCATAAACAGAAGGGATTCTTTTAATAGGGGAAATCATTGCCTTAGCTTCTTCTCATCATTGTTTACAACCTTAGCATTTTAATTTACAGCTGTTTAATTTACTTGCAATCGTAGTTAGTAAAGCGACCTTCAACTGTGATTCAAACATCTGGAAAACTGGTTCTGAAGAGTTTAGTGGGTCTAAAGATAGTGATTGATAGGTTAACTCTCTGTGGATTCGACCCTGGGCGTAATACTCGGGTTATATTTGCAACGTCCGTAGAGTCCTTTTTAGAGGGCATAGTTGGGCGTGATCAGATCGTCATTCAACTATTTATACATAGTACAGTCACGTTTTTTTTTGTTTCTAACAAAAAAGTCATTTAATTATGTATAAACATTCAGAAGGTCACTCAACCAAATTTCTTAAACTTTCGACAGCCAAATACCTATTATACCTTCTAAATCATAAAGTCTTATTATTTATTACTTTTTTAATGTTATGATATTATTTTCTCTTTTAATCTATATTATGGCCTTACATATAGAACAAATAAATCTTGTTTATAAAATAAAAGACAAAAAAAGTATTTTCAAGCATATATAATATTGGAATAAAAAAATAAGCATAATTTTCAAGCATATATAATATATATTATAAAACAGACTTATTTTTTAAATAATTATTTTCTTGCATGCATGAATTTTAAAAGCATTAATTTTCATTAGTTCTCAATTTTGTGAATAAATTTTGAGCTTTTATTGTTACTATAAAATTATTGACACAAAAGAATTATTTTAATTAAATTTCTTAGTTTGCTCAATTATTTTATTATTCAGACATTATGTATGCTTAAAAATTATTTTCACTTTACAAATAAAATTTATTTCTTTTATAGGTAAGTTCATCATAGATTAAAAAGAGGAAAAAATATTATAATATTATGATATAAAAAATTTTAAAAAAAAAGAAGAAGATAAAGATTGATAGTTTAGAGGGTAAAATAAATATTTGACCACTAAAAATTTGAAATTATAGTTGAATAATATTCTTAGTGCTATAGGCATGATTAAGTGATTTTTTTGTTATAACCACAAAATATGACTTATTAAATAATTTTGAATAATTAAGGGACCAAATTTAGTGATGAATTCTCGATGCTCCTAAATCGGTGTAGATTAGGATTCTAATTTTACAAGTACTTTCATATTGTTTGGAGAAGAACGCGTACCGGCCCTCACCAAAGAGGAAACCAAAGAGTTGTCCTATTAGGAAATAAAACATCGACCTCAATGTTACTGTTTTTTCCTTTTCTGAAATCCTTCTCGCGAATCCAAACAAAGCATTAACAACCTCTCTTTTCCACCATACAACAAAATCTGTACAATCCACATGGGTTTCAATAAAAATCTTTGGAAGAAAATTAAGCATAAACTTAAAGGGCCTCAACAATTTTATTCATTTTAAGTCGCCAAGAATTAAAACAATTATTTTTAAACAGATTATACGTAAGAACAACAATCCAGGATTAACGAATAATATATGTAAAATAATAATTCTCATAAATATCCGTGTAGTTTTATATCAATATTTCGAGCTTCACACTTTCTCTACTACAATTTCCACCATCTCAAATGAATCTTGAGCAGAAACATAGAGAAAAAGTTAAAGAGAACAAAATATTCAAGGGTATTTTTGTCCCAATAGTACACCCCTCTCACTTCCCAACTCCTCTATTCAACATTTCCTTGTACCTAATAATAGAATCAAGCCTCTGTAACTTCAACTGCTGCCTAAACATGTTAATAAAATCATCAGCTTTCTCATCAACTGCTTCATCTTCTCCAAACGACGCCGTTTCCCTCGTCGTCGCCGGTCGACGCCGATCCACCTGGTCCACCTCTTCCTCCTTCTCCGCCACGGTCATCTTCTCACTTGCCGACTTCATCATCGTCCTCGTCGGGACCTTCGCCGGCGTTTCGACGCACGTGGCAGACTTAGTCCTTGTCACGTGACTCTCAATCTTTGGTTCAATATTATCAACCTTTTGAACTTGTTCTTCTTCATAGGGGTCGGCGTGTTGGGCCACAGAAGGAATTGGACCGGTCTTTTCTGACCGGGAGAATGATAAGTTGATGGACCGGATCCGTTGTAATAAAGATGGACTACGGTCGAGTTGTGGTGAGTTAACGGAAAAGTCATGAGTGACGGAGGAAAATGGGTCAGGGAAAGAGAAGTTAAAGGACCTGACTCGTTGTAACAAAGATGGACTTCGACTGAGTTGGGGTATTGAGTTTTCTGTACTTTGTTGGTGTTGTTTCTTAGTATCAGTTTTGCGATTTGAAGTGATGAAAATAGTTCCAATCATGAGGTTCAGAAAGCAAAAGAGAATTGTGGGAGTGAACCAGCTAGCTACAGATTCAATCATGGTGGTTTTTTTTTTATATGTTGGAGAAGAACTGCTCAAGGGAAGAAGAAAGAAGATGAAAGACTGAAGAATGAGGAGTTATGGTCGGAGATGCGAGGAAGTTTCTATATATAGAGTGTTAAGGCAGGTCGGTATTATTGTGAAAAATATCTAGAAATTAAGGCACGTTGGTAAAAGTGGCAACAAAGTCAAGTTGATTCTCTATTGTATAATCCACCGTTCCCTCCTGTCTGAAATATTAGTGCATTTTTCAAATTTTATTTACTTTCAAATATCCTTTTTATTACATTCTTCAAATCTACACTTACAATCTTATGATCCAATTTGTTTGAAAATTAATCAAGTAACCATTTAGAGAAAAATATCCTTATAATTAAGGATATTAAATATTATTACTAAGAAATTTACAAAAAATATAAAGACTTATTAATATGGAGTGAAGGTAGTATCCATTTAGAAGAATTACTGTCTTGGCAATTATCATTATAATATTTGTTACACAATTTTCAAAATCAAGAAATACTTATAGTCAGCTAACTTGAACCGTTGAACAAGTCAAGTTGCTTCTCTTTTTTTTTTTTTTATATATATATATTTAGTTGGGAGGGTAAATTACACAAATGATTATATAATTACTATTATTTTTTCTCACCTAAGGCATACAATTATGTTCTCCAACACAAAATTCACAATACTTTTACTAACTCACATAAAAGTCACAATAACCGTAAAACACAACTTTCTGATGCAATATTTTTTAATTCATTTTTTTTTTATTTTCAATATAAACAAATATTGACCCAATTAAAGCCTGAACTGCTTTTTAAAAAACTCCTCTCTATATGGTAATAACTTTTTATACTGGTGAAAATACCTATGAGCAAGCTTGAATTGATTTATGGGGATGAGAGGATTCCCTTCATTATCTATAACAAATAAATTGGCTGGAGCTTAGCTAAAATAATTTATTTATATCCATGCTCATTTGGATATATGTTTCTTGAGATGGTAATTCGAACGGAAAAAAGAAAAAAAATACTAAAGTTGGATATATACAAACACACTTTAAATATATAGAGTAACAAAAATCATGTAACTAGTAAGTATTATTTTTGCGCAAGATGTTAGCATAATTTTTCTTTTTTATTGGGTTTGAGACAGATTATAATTTGCAACTCACATACTTAAATTCTTTAAGTAATAAAAATTTATAAACAAAAATTTAGATAAACAAAGGTGAAGCAACCAATAATATAACTTTATTAAACATAAGATAGAGGGACATGCATATTCTTGTTGGGTCATGCCCATGTTGCCCAGTCAAAGTCCCAATGGCCTAATTCTATTCTCTTTTGATTTTCATTTAAATTCGGAATTAGATTTGATTTTTATTCCTATTTGGAGTTGGTTTTGGCTTTAAGAGAAAGCACCACTCATTATCTATAAATAAAGCAACGTTGGAGAATCGCTTTATGCTCATTGGTATAAGTCTTTGAAAGACTTTAGCACATAAGAGTGATTTTTTAGAGAGCTTTCATCAATAGAGAAGAGAGAAAAAAAAATATTTGTTTTGCTGCAATTTTTGCTCCGACCAGCCTGCTTCAAACCACGTTTTCTGATTCGTTCATTGTTGGATTGGGTTTGACTGAGGGTTTTTAGCATCTTGGTCTTTGATTTGAACGGTGAAGATTGGATTTGGAGGCTTGTAGCATCCGATTTCGAGCTCAGAACAGCAGCTTTGTCTTGTGACTTCTCATATTTCTTAAATTAATTTGTTGTTTCTCTTGTTGCTATTGTTGCTCCGTGTTTGGCACTTGTTGTGTAGTCAATTTGGTGAACTTTTATAACCCTCTTATTGTCATCGTGGAGTTTTTTGGATCTTTGTGATCCCGTTATTTTTACCTTCGATTTGAAGGATTTTCCACGTTGAAAATTGGTGTTCTTTATCTTCGTCTTTATATCTGGGTTTGCCTCTTCCTCGTTATAATAGTGGTATCAGAGCCTTGCTTATTTATCTGGGTTTATTTTACGGAATGGAGGCGAATATGAGCATGATAGTATATTTTAGCAGGAGCAATTATAATTTTTGGAGAAGCAAGATGAAAGATTTGTTGTTCGTGAAGAAGATGTATCTACCCATTTTTGCAGCTCATAAACCCGAGAGTATATCTAATGAAGATTGGTATTTTGAGAACCAGCAAGTATGTGGATATATACGACAATGTGTGAAGACAATGTTCGCAACCATATTGTGAATGAGATACATGTGAGATCATTGTGGGAAAAGTTAGAGACTCTTTATGCTTCAAAAACTAGGAATAACTAAAAACTAGGAACAACAAGTTGTTCCTACTAAAACAATTGATAACCTTTAAATACAAGGAGGCCAGTCCGATCCTTGATGATATAAATAATTTTCAGAGTGTCTTTGATTAGTTATCTGGAATGGGAGTTAATTTTGATTATGAGATACAAAGACATTGGCTTCTTAATACTCTGCTAGACTCTTGGGAAACTCTTTGTATTTCGTTGACAAATTCAGCTCTTGGTGGTAAGGTGACTATTGAATATGCCAAGACTTGTGTGTTGAATGAGGAAGTAAGCAGAAAATCTCAGGGTTCGTTCTCACAAGCAGATATCTTGATTACTGAAGACCGAGGGAGAGATAGAATAAGAGGTTCGGCGAATAGATGTAAAAACAGAAGTAAGTCAAGGTCCAAATATCATAATTTCACGTGAAACCATTGTGTCAAGAGAGGACATATCAAAAAGCTTCTGCTACAAGTTGAGCAAGACACTAGAGAAGGAAAGAAAGTTGAAAATAACGAGAACAATATTGCTTCTATTATTGGAGATGACCTTCTTTTTGCTTATGATGAAAACGTCATCAATTTGGTATCCCATGAGACGAGCAAGATAGTAGATTCTAGAGCTACCTCACATGTCACACTAAGAAAAGATTTTTTCTCATCTTATACCGCTGTTAATTTTGGAGTATTAGAGGGGGCAATGCCAATGAAGTTAAGGTGTTTGGTGTTGGCACAATTTGTTTGAAAACTAATAATGGTTCAAAGTTAGTTCTTCAAAATGTCAAGCATGCTCCAGACATCGCGGTATACTTTTTTCTTTTCTTCGGTGGGTCATGATTCCTAAGTCGGGGTGCATACACCTCTCTTCACTTTCTGGCGGGCATGCCTTGCAATCCTTTCAATTTGATCTCCGTTAGAAGATTAGACGTTTAAGGTTACAATAATGCCGTCTTTAATGGCAAGTGGAAGCTTACCAAGGGCTCATTAGTGGTGGCTCGAGGACTCAAGTCTTCTCTTCTATATGTGACACAAGGATCTATTTTTAATGACTCCATAAATCTAGTGAAAAGTGACACTTTATCAGAATTATGGCACAGAAGATTGAGTCATATGAGCGAGAGGGGGATTATGTGTTTGGCTAAGAAAAGGTTGCTTTCTGGAGTGAAACAAACAAAACTGAAAAGGTGTATCCATTGTTTAGCTGGCAAATAGAAAAGGGTTTCCTTTCATAGCCATCCTACTTCAAGAAAGCCCGAATTATTGAAGCTAGTACACTCTAATTTGTGTGGTCCCTTTCAAGTAAAGTCAAAAAACAGTGCACTTTACTTTATGACCTTCATTGATGATCATTCTCGCAAGCTCTGGGTGTATTCTTTGAAATCCAAAGATCAAGCACTTGGCGTGTTTAAGAAATTTCAAGCCTTTGCTGAGAGACAGGCGGGAAAAAAAATTAAAATGTATTTGTACTGACAATGATAGTGAATATTGTGGTCACTTTAATAACTATTGCAAAGAACAAGGAATTCGTCATCAGAAAACTCTGCCCAAGACGCATTAATTGTATGGCTTAGCAGAGAGGATGAATAGAAATCTAGTTGAGAGAGTTAGGTGCTTGCTTTCACAGGCTAAACTTTCAAATATATTTTGGTCGGAAACACTTAATACTCTTGCTTATGTCATCAATTTGTCTCCTGCTGTTGCTTAGGATGGTGATGCCCCAGACAGAGTTTAGTTTTCCAAAGATATTTTTTATGAGAGTTTTCGGGTGTAACACTTGTGTGCATGTTCCTAAAGATTAGAAATCGAAGCTGGATGTCAAAATTAAGCATGCATCTTTATTGGTCATGGTCAAGATGGGTTTAGGTATTATTTTTATGAGCCAGTTGATAATAAACTTATTAGAAGTCATAATGCAATATTGTTTGAAGACCAGCCAATTAAAGATATTGACAAAGCTGAGCAGATAGATTCTCAGAGTAATGAGAGCTTAGTGATATTGATCCAGTTTTTATTGCTAAGACACCTATTGCACGTAAAGGAACCTAAGATAATAATGAAGATAGTGATCATGATCAAAATGATCATCATGGTGTAGATATTATGGATGCTCAAATTGATGAAGTTGTCGTTGATTCATACTCAGGTAACTACTTAGAATGCTCTTGAAACCTCTCTTAGAAGGTTTACAAGGGAGAAGAAAAAATCCATGCGTTATTCTCGTGATGAGTATGTACTTTTAACTGATATGGGAGAACCTGAGAGTTATGACAAAGCCATGCAAGATACTCACAAAGATCAGCGGATTGAAGCCGTGAAATGAATTGAAGTCACTCCATGAGAATGGTACATATGAGTTACTCAAATTGCCGAAAAGTAAGAGAGCTTTATCAAATAAATGGATATTCATATTATAGCAAGAATACCTCTGCGCCTAGTTACAAGGCGAGGTTAACTGTTAAGGGTGTTAGCCAGAAGAAGGGAGTTGACTTTGATAAAATTTTCTGTCCTGTTGTGAAGATGTCTTCTATTTAGTGGTTTTAGGCTTAGACACGAGTCCAGATTTAGAGGTTGAGCAGATGGATGTAAAGATTGCTTTTCTTCATGGTGATTTAGAAGAGGAGATATATATGGAGCAACCTGAGGATTTTGTAACTAAGGAAAAAGAAAACCATGTATGCAAATTGAAAAAGAGCCTGTATGGATTGAAACAAGCTCCAAGGCAATGGTATTTGAAGTTTAAATCTGTCATAGAAAAATAAGGGTATAAGAAAACTTCTTCAGACCACTGTGTATTCTTCTAG